CTTTGCTGCGTGTTCCCGGGGGCGGGGTTTATCTGGGTTTGTGATGTCACGAACCCGGGAAGTAACTCGTTGTAGTCCCTACCAGCCGTTTTTGTAGGCATTAAACTGCCAGAATTTTAAAAGACGATATCTCCGTTTGCATTGAACTTTCAGCTTCGTAACTTTGCAGATATTGTTTGTCTAACGCTAAAAAAGTGAAATCGCAATGAACCACCCCTTTAATTTAGAATTAACCTACTATTAAGCAAAAAGTGACATAATTGCCAAAACAGCTGCACTTGATTTAAAAAGAAAAGACTCTGTGATATATGCAGACGTTTGGCCGCAGACACATAGTTCCATCTTGTCTACAATAAACACAAGCAGTGTGGTGTTCTCTCCCATGATAATCAGCAAAGCTGCCTACAGTTATATAAGCTAGTCGTACCGCCCATCGATTGATAACTCAGTGATTGTTAATGTACATCTTTATGATAAGGATCTGCTCTGGATAAGTTGGTCTCCAGCCTGTGTGACTTGCAGGCCAGACTGGACTCCAGAAAGAAGGTTTCACCAGATGTTTTTGCTCAGAACATGAAGCTCAGAGAAGAAACCCACCATTTAGGTAAGCAAGCGTCCGCGTTCTGTTCTTCTCTCAATCGTTTTGTCTTCATTGAAATCTTGGAACTGTTTGACGATGTGATATTTCTCACATTATCACAGCAAACTACATCCCTCAAGGCTCTGTAGAGGAACTCTTCCCAGGAACATGGTACCTCACTCATGTGGACGAGAAGCATCGCAGGCAGTACGCCAGGCGCTCGGTGAGCGATGACAGACCGCTGCAGGCCGGACTCCTCGCTTCCAGCATTGCGGCTGAGGTAGGCTGTATGCCATGTTTGTCATTGTTAAAATAGTTTCCTCTATCCACCTGTTTTTTAACACAAGTGTGGGTGCAGCCATACGTAGCTTCTAGTGTCATTCGCTTCCAGTTATTATAGCGGTTCAAAAACAGGCTAATATTGCAAACTGGTATTTTAATGTATTGTCGTCATAATAACAAACACATTGGTTTGTAGAGCAAATAGTTTTATTATTTAATGCACTTTGTTGTTCTTCTGGATATTTACAGCACCTATAGCACTTTGTGTGTGGCTGATTGTGTTTTCTGTCTTTCTCAGCATATTCCCAGCCCGCTTAAGAAGATGCCCCGCATCCCAGCTACCACAGCTGGCCCTGAGGTGCTCGTCATTAGTAACGGGGAGCATTAAGTTTACCTCTATGAGGTGCTCACAATGGCAGATCACATGATCTGGAAATACGACACGCTAAAAAGGGCCCCAGGACTTCTGCAGCCAGATCACTTCTCAATGAGTGATGTGAAACTCAAAGCTTTTTAATGTTCCAGGACAGACTCCGTTCGACCATCACTGTGTTGAAGGCAGTAGTTTGGAAACGAAGTGGTGAGCTCCCACAAACTGCCTCTCAGAGTCATCTATGCAGATATCCTGAATTGTTTAATCCTTTTAAGTTCAAATATCTACCTGTTGGCATTTCACAAGCTCCATGTTGTCTTAAACTAACCCTGTCATTTAAAGCAGACGTTTTAAGACAGAAAAGAACATCAAAACGTGAATGTCTTGAAGAAGAACGCCCCTCGTTGTTTTTAATTGATCTAAATGCTGCATGGCTCCGTTCTCGTCAGCTGACGGCTGTCACAACTCCTGTTTTTGCTAAACTGTTGTCTTATAAAACTCCTTTCTAGTCAGTCTTATCACCATGGCCATGTCAGGGAAATGTGCCTGGATCACATAATAATGAGCCATTAACTTAAACTATATAGTCGCAGCTAAACGGGCTTCCGTTGGCATTTATGTCCTTCGAAATGAGAATCATTTATTTGATATTCATTCTAGCCAAAGTAGATGAGGAAAAAGTCATGATTATTGTATAGAGGACAAAAATGTGATGATAACTTAGTGGCAATGCTTTAAAAGCTATGAAATAATATAATAATCAAACTGGTAACATCTTTTGGACAACAGACAGTTTTCGAGATTAAAGTGAGAAAAAGCATCTGATTGTCATGTCAGCTGTTCAACCAAATTGTCGTATTTTACTCACCCTCATTTTGGTCCAATACAAGTCCATACACTCTCAGAAAAAAAGGTACATAATCTGTCAATGGGGCAGTATCTTTTCAAAAGATACACCTTGGTACCTAAAGGGTCCATACTGGTGCCATAAAGGTACATATTAATACCTAAAAGGTACAAAAGTGAAAGCCCAGTGACAAGCTTTTGTACCTTTTTTCTCTGAGAGTGTAGGACTGACTGATTTTTTTTTTGTGTGCAACGTTAAAGAACATATTTTGAAGAATGTTGGCAACTAAACAGTTCTGGATCCCATTGACTTTTATTGTATGGACAAGAAAACAGTGAATGGGAACTGTAACTGTTTGGTTACCAACATCCTTCATAATATCTTTCATGATGCACAGAAAAAAGTCAGTTATGCAGGTTTGGAACAACGTGAGTAAATGATGAGAAAAATGTATTTTTGGGTGAACTGTCCCTTTAACTCACTCTATATCAACTATATGTAGATCACAACTAACCCTGATATTTCTTGATCTGTTGAAAACTTGCAATCTGAAGAGATTTCATATTAATGTGATCTTTTATGATCAAATCTTTGACCTTTGATTGTTCCAAATGACAGAGCACTTCTCAGTAATTATAACTTATTCAGAGATTTATCGATTTCAGATTTTAATATTAATAATACTGCGCTATTGTAAAGGTTAGCACCTTAACACCTTGATGTTAAAGGGTTTGTGGCAGATTTACTAGACTAAAAGAAATAAAGAGGTATTTTCAGAAAGAGATTATGCTTGATTGCATAAACACTGAGAGCAAGATGGTATTTCCTTTCCAAACATTCTTCAATCCGTGGGTTCATGTTGATGTCTGAATAACAAGAGCACGTCTGCTCCAAATGCATATCCATCCTTCGAGAAGCCTTATACATTCTAATGTACAGAACACAAAAAAATTCTAAAACTGTATAGAGATATTTTCCCTCTCATTCTGCTGCCAGGACATGTTGACTGTAAAGTTATAACTTGAAACAGCCAATGTTTACAAGACGTTTCCCTCATGTCAGTTCATGCCAATAATTGGTAAGTAATGTACAGCACTAACTTATATTTGTAGATGGACAAAAATCGGTATCTGATCAGGTGTAACGTGTACAAAACAAGCTGTTAGACAATGTGTATGTGGGAATCTGATCATATGTGAACTGAGGATTAAATATTGATTTGCTGAAATCTCTGTTTATTCTTTGACTCTGGAGGTTTGGATTTTAAGGTTTTGTGTCCATTGAATTACTGCAGGCCCAAAGTGTATTACAAATATTTACATTTTTCACATAGAGCCCTAATTTCACATTCACACTTGCCTTTGTCAGCGGTTTCAGACGGCGAGTGTGGCTTGTATACAAAGCTGGGTGATGTAGTCCAGTTCCGTCAAGACCCGGGGTGTTGAACTCCTGAAGCGTCCTGAAGGGCCACAGTCCTACAGAGATTAGTTTAGCCTTGCTCCAACACGAACCTGGGCTGCGTCTGAAATCGCATGCTCATTGAGTAGGTACTTATTTGAATAAGCAATTCGATAAGAAATGCAATAAGGCCAAATGTGAGCACAGTGCAGTTAAATGTACTAGAAAATACGCGCTAATTTTTCATTAATTTGTAAAGTATGAAAATGAAACCATATTTAAATGCATGAAATAACTCATTTTACATTCTTACATTATTTTCCTTTGTGCAGAGCTTGATTTAGGTATGACAAAAGTGCTGCGATTCATTTTGACAACTAATAAAATGTTAAACATATCTTTTTCAGAGTTCATTGATTATATAAAATTCAATGTAGGTTGACTATAGTTGTCTGCATGTCTCATCCATGAGTGGAAAGATTTTGGGGGTGTTAAGACCCAGAACCAAGCTTACTGAGCAATAAAGCTATAGTGAGCCCTTTTATTAAAATACCTTGAGCCTAGGTAATGCAAAAATAAAACAAAAATGGTCATTCACTCAGTATTAAGCTACTTGATGTAATTCACAACTTACAATTACAATTAAGTAGGCCTGCAAATTAATTGTATTCAGTTGTGTTTTAGGCACTAAAACAGTCCAATACTTTATAGTCAAATCCATTTCTATATTGAAATAATGAAGATTTCTGTGCCACCCCTATGAAAATATCCTGGCTCTGCCACTGTATAAGAGGGCAAAGTGATTAATATCAGTTTATTTCTGAGTATCTCTATTAATTATTTATTTATTTGTGTGGTGGGGGGCACATGTTTGTGAATGGGCATTTGATTTACATTTGAGAGAAACTGAGAAGATTGTAAACAAGGATACAAACTAGCCACTTTTCACTGAAAATTGCCGTTGTAAATTCAAAATAGGCCATCTGTGTAATTCAAGTAGATTCAATGAGTTGAAAACTCTTGCTACTTCATACTTCAATACAAAACAATGCTGAACTTTGACAAAAAAATATATTTTTAAATGTTATAATAGTGATTTTATAATGTCTAAATATAAATCCATTAGCAAAACGTGAAAAGAACTACTGTATATTCCAGAGTGGAAATGGTAAAGGAGACAATAACTGCTGTCATTTAGTGGCCATAGTGGGAATCATGACATTCATTTTAATAGTGTTTCTTTTTCTACCAGGCGAAAATAAATCTTCCACTTAGCATGGCAATTTTTCCATGAATTATCTCTTTAAGTAAAAATGAAAACAAAAATGCAGATGTCCTTAAAAATAAATTGTACTATATAAAAATGTGCAAAAATATTAATAATTTTGAGGCAAATGATATATCTATTCAAATTACCTAACTAAAAAGTGAGCAATATTACATGTGTTTGAAAATAAAAATTAATAAAAAAGTGTTCTACTATCTGGGGTCTGCCATCATGAGTTAAAGGGGATGTTATGTGACACACTTTTCTTTCTTTTTTCTTGTTTTTACTTTTCACTTTTTTCCCTATGGTATTAAAAAAGGGGGAAGGGGGTTTAAACACTGTAAAAAATTACCGTGAATTTAACGGTAAAAGACTGTAAAAATGCTACAGTAAAAACCTGTTAAATGGTTAATGGTAAATTCCCCTACTATATACGGTGAAAAACTGTATTGGACATTACATGTATTGAACATTAATTTTACGGTAGTATACCGTTTTTGGAAGTGAAAAAGACTGTATAATTTACAGTGAATAACCGTAAATTGACATTCCCAGAATTCCCTGCGTTAAATTGTAGCTGCCGGCTTTTTACCGTAAATTTTACGGAATTTTTGGGCTTTTTGGTCATTGACTTGCAGAAAGTTTTCTGCGTGAGTTAGTGTTAGAGGCTACTAGAATACAGGGGGGCACCGACACTGATCTTGCATACCCCTCGGCAAATGTGCAAAACATAAGTGCTGTTGTGGCTGCTGTGTGTCACATGACGACCCCCCCAACTCGTGCCCCCTCAAAAATAATGAGTGCATGACGCCCATGCATGTGACTGTGGTGTAGTTTAACTTTAGCTTTTTACTTCTGTCTTGGCGATTGTATTTAGGCTTCAATATTCATGATTCAGTTGTGTTCATTTGTGAAGATTGTCATGATGAACAAAATGTGTAAGAATAATAATCTTTTGTTGGTCACAGAGCTTTTTCTCTGCAAAAAAAATAAAGCCAATGGAAACTCCTGTTAGGCCAATGTTGAAGGATCAGGGTGATTTTGGGTTGGTCTACCAAAATATGTCATCACTGCAGTACTTCATAGCCATTTGAAGAGAACCCAAAGATGCAAAAAAAAAAAAAAAGCTTACAAGATCATAAAGTTACTCCATGCACAGATGCATAAACAGATTGGCCAATGCCCAGTGAAAAGTGCCAAAGTAGTGTTGGAGTTTTTTAAAGAAAACAGACTTCACCTTGTGTTCCCAGCCTTACATCAGCTGGTGGAAATTTAAGCTATGCTAGCAGTTTCCACAGCCACAGTGGAGCGCTCAGCCTCACAGCTCATGCTGGTGAAGTCCAGACTGAGGAGTCTCTGTGCACAGGAAAGCATGATTTGCTGATATTTGGCATAAAGAGGGACATTCCTTTAGACAAAGAGGAAGTTCTCAGCATCTTTAAACAGATGGTTTCCAACACAAGGTTAAAAGTGTGAGACCAAAAAGCTGTGAAAACGGTACATTATAAAACAAGATTCTGTTTGTTAACAGTTAACTACATTAGTGAACATGAACTAACAATAAAAAGACTTCTAAAGCATTTGTTAGTTAAACATTTACTAATACATTTTTAAAATAAAAAAGTTGTATCTGTTAGTATTATTTAATAGATCTGAGCAAACAAGAACAACGAGTAGTTGTATTTTATTAACTATATTGTAGCAAATGCACATGCTCATTGTTAATTAATGCAGAGCTTACATGTTTTCAGCTTCATTGTGTTTCTAACATTATTCACCACCAGTGTTGGGGAAAGTTACTTTTAAAAGTAATGCATACAATATTACAATAATGCGTTACTCCCTAAAAAGTAACTAATTGTGTTACTTTTTATGGAAAGTAATGCGTTACGTTACTTTAGCATGACTTTTTCTCATATGGGCTGCGCTTGATTGTTTTTAGTATAAAAAGAGTTATATTTTTGGCAAATGTAAAAGGCCATTCACACCAGAAGTGAAATGCATGAGCCTCAGGCTGAAGGAAATGTAAATTGACGTCTGTACAGTAGAGACCGCAGCTCAAACAAACCTTTCAGCTGAGCTGCTGTTCTGGATTGCATGAAGAACGCAGAGAAGAAAGCTCAACACTATGCTTAACTAAAGTCATGTTTGCTTATTATGGTTGAATTGGATCATCGAAGGTCAGCAGCAAAGTCATTGGTTAATAAAATTGGATTAAATACATAAAGGATATTTGTGCTAATTAACATATTTAATTATTACAGCATCATATTCTGAGTGTGCATTTCACAGTTTTTATTCATTTTGAGGAATAATAAATCTGTTTCTGTGTGAGTGAGATGAGTAAATGCATGTTCAGATAGAACACTGGTTCCCAAACTTTTTGCAGCGTGCACCCCTTTCTAGTGTTTGACACGTGCCAAGCACCCCCGCCACCTTACTCCGGTTAAACACATCTTAACTGCAACAAATACAAATATTCACTATACAGGGCTTGACATTAAC